CACGAAAGTGCCGACAGTTTCGCAGATCGCAGCCCTCCAGGGCACCGCGAGCTATAGTGGTGATCTGCGTATGACGTACCTCCGCTGGGCCTCCCAGGAGCCCACGAAAGTGCCGACAGTTTCGCAGATCGCAGCCACCTGGGGCACCGCGAGCTATAGTGGTGATCTGCATATGACGTACCTCCGCTGGGCCTCCCAGGAGCCCACGAAAGTGCCGACAGTTTCGCAGATCGCAGCCACCTGGGGCACCGCGAGATATAGTGGTGATCTGCATATGACGTACCTCCGCTGGGCCTCCCAGGAGCCCACGAAAGTGCCGACAGTTTCGCAGATCGCAGCCCCCCAGGGCACCGCGAGCTACAGTGGTGATCTGCATATGACGTACCTCCGCTGGGCCTCCCAGGAGCCCACGAAAGTGCCGACAGTTTCGCAGATCGCAGCCACCTGGGGCACCGCGAGCTATAGTGGTGATCTGCATATGACGTACCTCCGCTGGGCCTCCCAGGAGCCCACGAAAGTGCCGACAGTTTCGCAGATCGCAGCCACCTGGGGCACCGCGAGCTATAGTGGTGATCTGCATATGACGTACCTCCGCTGGGCCTCCCAGGAGCCCACGAAAGTGCCGACAGTTTCGCAGATCGCAGCCCCCCAGGGCACCGCGAGCTACAGTGGTGATCTGCGTATGACGTACCTCCGCTAGGCCTCCCAGGAGCCCACGAACGTGCCGACAGCTTCGCAGCTCGCAGCCCGGCGCGGCACGAGAGAAGAGGAGAGGGGAACACAGGAAACAAGAGAGAAGCAGGAGGGGAGGAGAGGGGAGGAGGAAGGAGGAATGAGGACGGGGCGACCGCACTGCTCTGTTCAAAACGAGTACCCACCACAGGAGTGCTGGGAAATAACAACCAAAAATGATGAAAATAAGAATAAGCATGATACGACTGATGAGAATACTGATAAGAGCAAGAGCAATGGTAATAGTAGCTACAAGAATGATATTAACAATACTGGTAAGAATAACAATGACAATAATAATAATAATACGATAGAAAACATCAATTACTATCAGAATACGATCAATAATGGTAATAGTAGTCTAAACTATTGATGGCGATCATGATAACAATAATGATGATATTAATGCTGAATAAGAATATCTATAGCCGTCGTCATCATCAACCTCATCATCATCACCATCAACAATATCATCATCATCATCATCATCATCAGCATCATCATCAGCATCATCATCATCATCATCAACATCATCATCCGTAGCAGCAGCAGCAGCAGCAGCAGCAACAGCAGCCGTCATCGTCAGCATCAGCATCGTCATCGTCATCGTCGTCATCACCACCAATACCACCACCACCACCACCATCATCATCATCATCATCGTCATCATCATCATCAGCAGCATCAGCCTCAGCATCATCATCACCAGCAACAGCCGCATCAGCATCAGCATCGTCATCGTCATCATCATCTTCATCAGCAGCAGCACTAGCATCATCATCGTCCTCATAAGCAGCAGCAGCAGCATCGGCATCATCGACATCACCATCAGCAGGATCGGCATCAGCAATACCATCATCATCAGCATCATCATCATCATCATCATCATCATCGTCATCGTCATCGTCATCGTCATCGTCATCATCGTCATCAGCATCAAATCAGCATCATCGTCGCCATCATCATCATCATCATCATCATCATCATCGTCATCATCATTGGCATCAGCAACATCATCAGAATCATCATCATCATCACCAGCATCAGAATCATCGTTATCGTCATCGTCGTCATCATCGTCATCAGCGTATCACCATCATCATCAGCATCATCATCATCATCCTCAACACCATCATCATCATCATCGTCATCAGCATCACCATCGCAAGCATAGTCAACATCACCACACCCATCAACATCGCCATCAGCATCGCCTTTGTCACCATCAGCATCATCACCATCATCTCTCTCGTCATCATCATCACCACCATCGTCCTCAGCGTCATCACCGCCATCATAATAAACATCATCACCGTCATGGTCACAATCATCCTCATCACCATCAGCAGCATCATCATCATCGTCAGCTTCACATTCATCTTCAGCATCAGCATCAGCATCATCGTCATCATCATCATCGTCATCATCAACAGCAGCATTATCGTCATGATCATCAGCATCACCATCGTCAGCATCATCATCATCATCATCATCATCATCATCATCATCATCATCATCATCATCATCATCATCATCATCATCATCATCATCCGCATGTGAGGGCACACCGTGCTGGCATCGAGGCAGCTACTATCTGGAGGTCCAGCCGCAGCGAGTCGTCCTTGGACCTCGGCAGGCATCAGGGGGATGATTTCCCCAGGCCCTGCACCCTTGCACATCTCAAACCCTCTTCCGCATCGTCTCGCGCACCTTCCCTCCCCATCCTTCCCTCATCATTCATTCCTCTCTCTCTCTCTCGTTCTCTCTTTCTCCCTCCCCCACGTTGTTGCTGGCGCGACTGGGAGTTAGCCAGAATTACCCTGCGACATACCCAACCCTTCTATACATGTGGCGAGTGTACTCAAGACCACTCAATGCTGACTGGCATTCTGAAGGACTCGCAGTGCGCAAGAAGAGCACCAAGCAGTGATGTCAGAAGAGCGCAACAAGAAGAGCAGCGGCAAAAATACAAAACGGACACACAAGGGGCGTTTGTAGTGATCTGCGTATGACGTACCTCCGCTGGGCCTCCCAGGAGCCCACGAAAGTGCCGACAGATTCGCAGATCGCAGCCACCCAGGGCACCTCGAGCTATAGTGGTGGTCCGCGTATGACGTACCTCCGCTGGGCCTCCCAGAAGCCCACGAACGTGCCGACAGCTTCGCAGATCGCAGCGCCCCAGGGCACCGCGAGCTATAGTAGTGGTCCGCGAATGACGTACCTCCGCTGGGCCTCCCAGGAGCCCACGAAAGTGCCGACAGTTTCGCAGATCGCAGCCACCCAGGGCACCGCGAGCTATAGTGGTGGTCCGCGTATTACATACCTCCTCTGCACCTCCCAGTAACCCACGAAAGTGCCGACAGTTTCGCAGATCGCAGCCCCCCAGGGCACCTCGAGCTATAGTGTGGTCCGCGTATGACGTACCTCCGCTGGGCCTCCCAGGAGCCCACGAAAGTGCCGACAGTTTCGCAGATCGCAGCCACCCAGGGCACCTCGAGCTATAGTGGTGGTCCGCGTATGACGTACCTCCGCTGGGCCTCCCAGGAGCCCACGAAAGTGCCGACAGTTTCGCAGATCGCAGCCCCCCAGGGCACCGCGAGCTATAGTGGTGTTCCGCGTATGACGTACCTCCTCTGCGCCTCCCATTAGCCCACGAAAGTGCCGACAGTTTCGCAGATCGCAGCCCCCCAGGGCACCGCGAGCTATAGTGGTGGAACACAGGAAACAGGAGAGAAGGAGGAGGGGAGGAGAGGGGAGGAGGAGGAGGAGGAAGGACGGGGCGACCACACTGCTTTTTTCAAAACGAGAACCCAACACAGGAGGGTTGGGAAATATTGCAAAAACCATAAAACTGCCCGGCACGAGCCCTGGAGGGTTCTGCGCCAGGCGACTGCGAACACGAGCCCCGTAGGGTTCAGCGCTCCCAGTGTAGCACGAGCCCTGGAGGGTTCAGCGCTACTGGTACGAACCCCGAAGGGTTCAGCGCCAAGGCACGAGCCCCGGAGGGTGCTGCGCCCAGTACGTGGAGAGCACGAGCCCCGGACGGTTCTGCGCACTCCACGTAGATGGCACGAGCCCCGCAGGGTTAAGCGCCACAGGCACGAGCCCCGAAAATTTCAGCGCCGCAAGCACGAGCCCCGAAGGGATCAGCGCTCAAGATGTCGAAAGCACAAGCCCCGGAGGGTTCAGTGCTGTAGACGTCGAAAGCACGAGCCCCGAAGGGCTCAGCACTCTCAACGCGGTTGGCACGAGCCCGAAGGGTTAAGCGCCAAAGGCAAGAGCCCCGGAAGTTGCAGCGCCAGACAAAATGATAAGGCAAAGGAGGAGAAGGAGGCGGACGGCGCTCTTGGCGTCCCCTACCCCTTCCGACAAGCGGCTCCAAGACCCCAGGTCCGCCAAAACACTGCTCCAGCTCGCACCCATACTCGTCGTCGTCGTGGTCAATGTCGTCGTCGTCCTCCTCCTCCTCCTCCTCCTCCTCGTCCTCGTCCTCCTCGTCCTCGTCCTCGTCGTCGCCGTCGTCGTCGTCGTCACCGCCGTGCCTGACTCCTCCTCCTCCTCCTCCTCCTCATCCTCCTCCTACTCCTACTCATCCTCATCCTCATCCTCATCCTCATCCTCATCATCATCCTCATCCTCATCCTCATCCTCATCCTCATTCTCATCCTCATCCTCATCCCACCTCCTCCTCCCTCCCCCTCTTCTGCCCCTTGCAGGTGTGGGAGCCGCCCAGGGGACCTCCTCCGGGCTCAACGCCCACCTCCAGGGCGCACGCTCGCCTCCTGCGCAAACGCCCACCTCCGAGGCGAACGCTCGCGCCCAAGAGGCCCCCGAAAGCCCCCAAGAGGCCCTAAGACGACCCCCACGGGCCCCAAAGCTGTTTCCAAGAGACCCCCAAGCCGCCAACCACGAGATCCCCACGAGCACTCCAATGGCCTCTGGCCCACCACCCAGTCACCGCGTGGGACGTACCTCCGCTGGGCCTCCCAGGAGCCCACGAAAGTGGCGACAGTTGCGCAGATCGCAGCCCCCAGGGCACCGCGAGGTCTCGTGGTGATCTGCGCGTATGACGTACCTCCGCTGGGCCTCCCAGGAGCCCACGAAAATGGACGACATTTGCCCAGATCGCAGCCCCCCAGGGGCGGCGAGGTCCCGAGGTGGTCCGTGTATGACGTACCTCCGCTGGGCCTCCCAGGAGCCCACGAAAGTGCCGACAGTTTCGCAGATCGCAAGCCCCCCAGGGCACCGCGAGCTATAGTGGTGGTCCGCGTATGACGTACCTCCGCTGGGCCTCCCAGGAGCCCACGAAAGTGGCGACATTTGCGCAGATCGCAAGCCCCCCAAGGGGCGGCGAGGTCCCGAGGTGGTCCGCGTATGGCGTACCTCCGCTGGGCCTCCCAGGAGCCCACGAAAGTGCCGACAGTTGCGCAGATCGCAGCCCCCAGGGCACCGCGAGGTCTCATGGTGATCTGCGTATGACGTACCTCCGCTGGGCCTCCCAGGAGCCCACGAAAGTGGCGACAGTTGCGAAGAACGCAAGCCCCCCCAGGGGGCGGCGAGGTCCCGAGGTGGTCCGCGTATGGCGTACCGCCGCTGGGCCTCCCGGGAGCCCCCGAAAGTGCCGACAGTTGCGCAGATCGTAAGCCCCCCAGGGGGCGGCGAGGTCCCGAGGTGGTCCGCGTATGGCGTACCGCCGCTGGGCCTCCCAGGAGCCCCCGAAAGTGGCGGCAGTTGCGCAGAACGCAAGCCCCCCAGGGGGCGGCGAGGTCCCGAGGTGGTCCGTGTATGGCGTACCGCCGCTGGGCCTCCCAGGATCCCCCGAAAGTGGCGACAGTTGCGCAGATCGCAAGTGCCCCAGGGGGCGGCGAGGTCCCGGGGTGGTCCGTGTATGGCGTACTTCCACTGTGCCTCCCAGGAGCCCACGAAAGTGCCGATAGTTGCGCAGATCGCAAGCCCCCCCTGGGGGCGGCGAGGTCCCGAGGTGGTCTGCGAAAAGCGTACCTCCGCTGGGCCTCCCAAGAGCCCACGAAAGCCCACGAAAGTGCCGACAGTTGCGCAGAACGCAAGCCCCCCAGGGGGCGACGAGGTCCCGACGTGGTCTGCGTATGACGTACATCCGCTGGGCCTCCCAGGAGCCCACGAAAGTCGCCACAGTTGCGCAGATCACAGCCCCCCCAGCGATCGCAACCCCTAGGCAAGGCCACCCAACAGACAAGACGACGAGTCAGGAATCAGGAACCAGACGGCAGGAGAGCACAGAAGGCAGGAGCGAGGGGAGGCGGGAGAAGAAGGGTGCAGACCACTCTGCTCAAATCAAAACGAGAACCCATCACAGGCGGGTTGGAAAAAAAGAAGTCTGAGGTCAAGTCCCAACTTGTGCCTGCGTTTCCCCTTTTGGCACGTGTGTCTTTTGTTGGCCAGTTTGTCAAGGCATGGTTGGGCTCCCATCTTCCGGATTGCCGGGTGAGGCCCAAGGAAGCAATTTTGCTGGACAGAGAGGTTCTTGTCCTCTGTTTCCACACACGCGCTCGTTGCGCGTTGCGTTGTTGTGTTCTGCCGTTTTGAGCCTGCGACAGTCCTCCTCGCAATCCTCCTCATCCTCCTCCTCACCCTCCTCCTCCTCTTCACTCCCCTCACCCTCCTCACCCTCCTCCTCCTCCTCCTCCTCCTCCTCCTCGTCCTCCTCCTCCTCTTCATCCTCCTCCTCCTTGTCCTCCTCCTCCTCCTCCTCCTCGTCCCCCTCCTCCTTCTCCCCCTCCTCCTCCTCCTCTTCCTCCTCCTCCTCCTGCTCCTCCTCCTCCTCCTCCAACTCACCCCTTTTCCTCTCGCATCCTCGTCCTCACCTCATTGTTGTGCTCTTCCTCCTCCTGTTCCTCGTCCTCCTCCTCCTCCTCCTTCACCGCCTCCTTCTCATAATCAACAGCAATAACAACAGCAGCAGCAGCAGCAACAACAACAACAGTTATGCTAACGGAGTTCCCCACATAATGATGATACGGGGCTATCGGGATCAAGGAATTGTTTTGCTGGTACGCACCCTCCCCGGCCAACACCTCCTGAGGGTACTGCTCTGCGGTCGGCGCGTCCGCCGACGGTGGTGAAACGCAGCAGCTGGTCCGAAGGGCCCAGCTGGCCCGAAGGGCCACACAGATGGAAAGGATCTGGATGATCGTCGTCTTGAGGATAATCCTGATTATCTGATATGAAAAGGGGGAGAGGCTGGCCGCCGCGGACAGGCTACACACGGGCACTGAGCCCGGCCTCGCACCAATCCGGCTTGAGCCGAGGCGGCGTCCGAGCCGCTTTGTCCGATATACATACCACCACCTTCTTGCTATCTGCTGCGCAATCCCGTCTGCCCCTCCCATGTCTAAGGAGGATCGCTACACTTCAACTCGGGGTGGGAAAACGCAGCGAAAGTCTACGAGCTGATTCCATACACGCACTGAAAGCACAGCAGATCATTAGTCGCGGCTGACCAACCACTGGCAACCGACTTCTGAGAGGCAAGCTGCCGAAAAAATAGCGCTCTAGACCAGGGCTCCCAAGATGATCCGAGGGAACTCAAGAGGCTAAAAAGAGGAACGGTTTGACTCTTCTTCCAAAAGAAAACAGATGATAGTGCCACAGGCACCACATCGCTAGAAAAATCGCCACGCACGACAAGTGTGGGAATGATATCAATATTGAGGAAGAGAGAGGACGAGAGAAAACAAAATCTCGTACAGGCGGTGCGTGCGGTCCACAAAAGAGTAGACCAGGATGAAGATAAAGAAAATCATCCTCGCAAAAGTACAATAGTCAAATCTTAATCAACAGATATTCCACTCATCATCAAAATAAAACCATCACGATTCACTTAACTTCCAACTAACTCGTATCTCCGCGAGGTCCCCGTAAGCATAGGGCTAGGGGCTCATCTCCGATCATCATCAACACTGCTGTCTCCCACAACTGAAGTATGGGCTCTCGAGCCAAACCACCCTTGGTCAACGCGTCACTGATCATAGCTCGAGTGTCCACCCACCAAATGTTGTGCAGAGTCCCAGCTTCCAGTCGGCCACGCAGAGCACGTAGTAGGTACAAAAGATGCGGTTCCGCAGGTGCCTTCAACACCGTGGCACCTAGCGCTGTAAAGAGGCCTTTGTTGTCTGTGCACACGGGCAGGTCGACCGGCAATCTCCCCGTGTCCATGCATCGCTGAATCTGTTTCGCTGTTAGTGGACCATGAACAATCTCACACACCATCACTTGAGTCAACAACGCATTGCTGATGCCGTCGTCGACGCTCGCCAGCTCCGCCGAGAAGGTGGAACGACAAACCCGAGGCTGCTTTCGCGAATAGGACTCCGCTGTCGCGCACAGGCCTCCCTTGGGCATGAAGTCGTGACCTGCGATCGTAATGACTGCCGCCCGGACGGCCAAACAGTCCGGCTCCGTCGCACGAAAAGCACTATCAGGGAAACCCACCACACTCCATGGCAGAGGTACTGCATAGTAGACTCTTGATCCAACGTACAACTGAGTTCACATGTCTAGCATGGTTCCAGCAGGGTTCGTGAGCACGTCGTTGCAGGTATCCGATATGTACTGCAACATCCGCCCTGGCAACTAGCATCCAGACAGCTCCACCCAAGAGTGACCAAAAATAAGTTCGGTCTTGATGTTCGAGTGGTTCTTCATCTGCTCGAATCTTGTCTACCTGCATGGGCCTGAGCTGCGCAGCGTAGTGGTCCTGAGAGCACAACACTGATCCGTCCTCGTGTTGATCGCGAACAACGCCGCAGTGCTCAAACTTTCGCTTTTGCCTCGTGAGCTTCCCGAACTCCGACTCGAGAGCATCCATGAATGCGTCGGCGATCGACTCGGTCGAGGCACCCTTGAGATCGTCCACGTGAGTGCTGCACGCCATCTGTAAGTCCTCGGTCGCTACCTGCGGGTCGGTGAACAGCACGTCTGGCATTCGAACCTTGTCCTCATCTACGTTCGCGGCCCAAGTTCTCGAGGTACAGGGTGGCATCGAGACCCAGCCCACTTGCAATAAAACTGAGGATCCGTAACCAGCGACAAGAGCTGCAGCTTGGTCATCACCTGCTTCAGCCTGAGATCCCACAGTCTCGGCGCGCCCTTGAGACCAAAGCCAGGACGCACCATCTCCAGGCAGTGCTGACTCACATCATAGTTAGACAGCTGTTCGAACTGCCTGGCTATCTTCACCGCGTCCTTGGGCAAGTCCAGCTGAACGGTTATGAGGGGCTCGCCGGCCATGTCGGCAACGTCTTGAAACGTGAGTCCCTGCAGAAAAGCACTGCCCACGACACAAGACCACAACACCCACTTCGGGCGACTCGCCGCGATGAAATCCACAATCCTCTGACTCTGCCTCGAGGCGGTCGCACTGAAAGTGCCCGGGCGATCCTGCTGCATGGCCTTAAAGCCCTTGATGCACAACCGTGCCTTGACCGCCAGCTTGCCGTCTGGTTGCTTCTTCCAGCGGATCACCCATCTTTTTGTTTGTTTTGTTTCCCCGTCGCGGTAACCGAGGATCTGTGTATCTTTCAAATGCCACCAAACATGGCAGGATATACCACCACGCCTGGGTATAAGGAAGAACTACTGCGGAGGACCACCAAATGGTACTAGGAGATACCCAACATGCAAGAGAAGGTAAACCATTGCATAGCACAAGTGACACGATATTAATGCGAAACCACTTGATCCCATGGAGTGAGAGCGCCACCAACATAAACACGTGTTTCCGAGAAGCAAGATACAAAATCGATGGAAAACCACTTCAGCCTCACAGATTGACGAGTAATGTGGTATCCATAACTGACGTCATATACACGGAACTCGGTGTAGAGGATCGCCGCCTTCCTGAATAGCCTGGAGCATGCCTGCCTGAGCGAAATGAGATCATCCGCATCAAGGAAGCAAGCTGGCCTGCATTGCGGAGAGACTTTGGCGAAGGCGACGCAGTGCGGGGCGGGGAGCATCCTGGCAGTTGGTGGAGCCAAAATGACTCCAAATTACGCATGACCACAGCGAGAGGGAACAATAAGTGCGTGAAGGAACGGCACATGTATCCCATGAGAACAGCGCCAAAGAGAGAGCAAGAAGGGATGCAAGTATGAGCGTGTCAGCTCACAACCATGGCAGCTATCATAGCAGCGGCATTGTTTTGACATCCCGATCACACTTCAACGTCGCATGATTCGCATATCAAGAAACTCTCATTTGCACTGATGTCCTGCCCGCAATAATCGCAGCAGTATGTTCCCGACAAAGGGGTGGTGTGATCGCGGAGGCCATGCATAGCCGAACCATTAAACTGGGAAGTATCTTCGCAAAGGATCACTTTGTCCACCACAAGCTGCGCATCACCAGCCGTGCCACCAGAAGGTCCCTCCTGAACCTGGGGGTCCTGAGGGGCATCACGAACGGAGGAAGCACCAAGACTGCTTTTGAGCTCCTCAATCGTCCCCATAGGGTTGACGCTGATGATGCATTGGATCAGGCCGATCGGGTTGTCGAAGAGGCTGGGCTGGAGGTAGATGGCGAGGGAGCGAAGCCAATGGTCACACTGAGCCTTGCGACCAGGGTTCAGAGAAACATACGTATCAGAAAAGTGCTTCACAACTGTTGAAGCCATCGAGGTCGATGAGCAGGGGCCCTCAAACGGCGATGAGATGACAGCAACTTCCGATCCCTGAAGAACCGCTTCTGGGTGCTGGGACAAGTAGTTCTCGACGAGACGAGAGCCTGTCTTTTGAGTCTGAGAGAGTGCGCACACTGTGTTGGCCGCAACATCAATTCCACCATCTTGAATAACATCAATAAGTGATGGGCCAGTAGTCTCATCTTCTTCACTGCTCTGCTGCACACAAAGGGCGATGTCAGTGGTCTCCTCCTCCGAAGGAAAAATTTGTATAATATCCAAAACTTCGTCTCCGTCGTCGCCAAGTTCCTGCTTTGGGAGCGAGGGGGCAATGGCAATAATCTCAGACAACAGGGAGGACCATTTAAGGTGGGCAGCTGCATTCCTCTTCCGACTCAAGAGCCCGAGCCGATTCTTTCGCGTCTTGCAGCCGCGAGCACCCGAGGGTTTCCAGAATAGCCTCCAGGATAATAATCGGGTCCTCAACCGCAGGGCGATTAGAATTGGCACTGAATTGGCAGATGGCCGCACGTATGGCAAAGCGGCGATCGCTGGAGCACAGCGAGGAAGCGGCAATGGAGTCGAACACACCAGTGAGCTTCATGGGCCGTGAGTAACAATTGCAAAGAGGGGGCAATCGCGCCGCCGCCAGCTCGCCAAATGGCTTGAGCCAAAATGGCTACGGATTCCAGCGGATCACCCATCTTGAGCCCATCAGGTTGGTGCACCTTCGCCTGCTGCGTTGCTTAAGTGCACCTAACTCTTGTCAGTTGCCCAGCTCCTGCAACATCGCCTTCTCGACTTCGACTCGGTACTTGATCAAGTCGTCCTTGGTGAGCTCGTCGGCCTCTCTCTCGATGACCATCTTGGTCTTGCCCGTCGAACTGACGGCCAACACCACGCAGTGGCCGCCATCTTCCGCGAAGAGGGAAAAGATCTCTGACTTGGGCAACATATGATCGCCAGAAGTCATGATCACGAGCCTGGAAATCTCCGAGCAAAACTCCACCTCCAGAGCCTGCATATCCTTCTCTTGGTTCTCCAGATAGGTGGCCACCTCGACTGCGTCCAACACTCGAGAGTCCAGCCAGTACTCAGCGTCTGGTGGTGATTGGCCGTCGAGGATGGCGCGAAAGAAGCTGAACTCCGTCCTTGCATGTTGCATTCACCCTGGATCCCAGGGCTCGAGCCACATGTCCTGCACGTCCGAGCTGACGTCGGGTTCGATCCGATAGGGCTGCTGAAAAGGTCGCCACGTCGGCCTTAGCAGTTCAGGGTCCGTCCTGAATCTCGAGGATGCGCCGCACCCTGAGCCTGAGGTTCGGACGCCTCCGATTCATCGTCGATGGTGGCCTCTGGAATTGGCCATCGATGCCATCGATCCGGTCGTTCTCCAACATCATCAGGATCTCGAGGCCGCATTTAGCCTCGTGGCGCAGGGAAGTCGGGCATCTGTTGAGGACCTCCCACGCGCGGCATGTGAACATCGACCTGCCGCAAGACCTCGGCGGTAGAGATCTCAACCATACAAAACTGCACCCAGCATACACGTCCAAAATCTGGCCCCATCAGGTGTTGGGCACTCGCCTTCGACCGAAGATCGAAACTTGCGTGGCGATAGCCAATCGACTCGCCCGGACGCCACCAAGCGATCATACAAGTGTGATGCCCTCGAGCTGCTGGAATCTCTCGCGAACCATATCCCAATCTCGTGGCCACAACTCCATACAACTGAAAATCACAGGCAGCCACATGAAAAGCTGCCGTCGTCAAGGTAGGCAACCGGCTGCTGGTCTTCGTCATCCCCCAGCGTCCATCTTCGCCGATCTCATATCCCAAGAGCACGGTAGTGCCCACCGCCATGTTCTCCACGTAGTACACTCGCATCTGGTAGGGCTTGGTGTCGCCACGGCCGGGAGCCGCGATGAGGGTCATCCACGTCACTGCTCGTCGGACATCAGCTGGGCGGCACGGCAAAGTGCGGCCCTGCCATCTGACATCAATGATACCCTCGTCCGCTCGGTCCATGGAAACTACCTTGCAGGGCACCCGCCAGCCGGTGACATCCTTGTTCGGCGGGCCCCTGAAGATGTCAACCATATCTCCTGCACGAAGATATCCGAGCTGAGCCGCCGGTCTTGTTCGCGTCCGAGCTGCAATCTTCAATCTTTCCTGAGCGCTGTCCTGCACGATGTTGGCAAGAGCTAGTTCCCGGACCCGATGAACGCGACGAGACACGGCGCCTCCAGACTCGTCGTCAAACTCGGATCCTCCACCTCCGAGCTCGAGTAGAATATTCGGAACTCGACCATATAGGACAGCATATGGCGCGGTCCCGTGAACGCTCAAGAGGGGGCTCATAGCCAACAAAGATTCGTCCAACAGCTCCTCCATCGAAACTCTAATGCCTTCCTGGTTGGCCTGACCTCGAACTCGATGATCTTGTGTCCTGAGGAGATCATTCCTCTTCTCGATGACATGAGCATGGGCTCCCTTGGGCTTCGGCCTCAAATCCACCTTCAATCGATCTGCCCAAATAGCTCCTTCATCCGAGAACAAAGCGCCTCCCTGATCTGAGGTGATGAACTTCGGCGGGTCGTGAACTCGGAACCAGATGGGAGTACTAGAAGGAAGAACGTCACCTGGCTCCTTGGACTTCACGAAAAGCCCTTGAGCCCACCTGACACACATGTCAATCAAGTGCACCACGATGCCGTCATCCAGGAAAAGAAGATCGAACTGGATCCCTCCATTGAAGGCCGTGATGAACGTCAAACTCGCAACCGACTTGTTGCCTCGGCGTTGCCATTCTCGACATACTGCGCAGGTGCCCACGACGCCCTGCACCATGTTGATCACTTCTTGTGGCAAACCCGCGGCCGAGAGCAAGTCTCGTAATCGTTGTGCTGGAGCGCGCCATAGTCGCATATGCATGCGACGTAGCGCGCGTTGTACCATCCCCGGGACCGCAGACCTCAGTCCCTGAATAGCACGCCCCATGTCCCACTGTGTACAGTCCGCTCCAGTGTCGATCTGGGCCACAGCGTCCTGAAATCGTCGTCTACTCTGTGCAACCTCATCCTCGCTTGCTCTCACCGGAGGTCCAGGCTCTCCAGCAGGACTGATGGCTCCTTCCGCTGCGGCAGCAGGAGCCTCGCCTGAGGCGCCTGAGGGTCCAGCTTCAGGACGAGGCTGAACATCATCATCTCCTTCCCTTGCTGCAGCGGGAGCAGCGCCTGAAGGTCCAGCTTCAGGATGAGGTCGAACGTCATCATCTTCTTCTCCTGCTCTAGGGTGTACTCGATGACCAGCGCCCGCAGCTCGCGCTGCCGGTACTCGTGGATATCGTGCATGAGCCGCGCCGGAGGATCGTGTCCCAATCATCCTGGGTTCGTCCATGAGGAGGCGACAGTCCGTGTCGCAGGCATGGCGAGGAACATAACGATCCCGACCTGTCTTGCATGCCGGGCAGTTGTACTCCAGCGGCTGTACCAAAGGGCGTCGGCACTGTCCAGGGATGCGGGTGTGTGAAGGATGTGTGCTGACTCTATTTCCACGGCATCCTGGGCAGCGGTGAGGCCCGACAGCTGCTGGTCGAGCGCTCGGATCCAGCGCTCCTGCTGGCGCGGGAGGTGGTGGAGGTACGTCTGCTGCTGCAGCAGCGAGGGCCGGTAGTCCCGGCGGAGGGTCGATAGGCACGGGAACTCCAGCTCCGTTCATCCTCGGATACGCAGCCACGGTAGCGTAGACCAGCTTCCTCAAGTCCAGCTCGCGAAGCCATATCACTTCAGAAATTCCGTCGGCCAAAGTACGAGCGAACTGCCATGTCCACACCTGCGAAGGCTTAATGTCGCGTCCCGAGCATTCGCCATGCCGACGTCGTCGATCGCATTCTTTGGAGCGTAGCTGGTAGATCAGCACCTCGTGGCTCGCCCAGACCTCCCCTGGCTTATTGAGCGGCTCCTTCTTCGAGTTGACGAGCCCCAGCATGCACATGTTGAAATGAACCCAGGCGAGGCTCCTCTTGGCCAGGCCTATCCATCCTGGCGTTCGGTAAATACGGCCCCCCCTCGGCAACTCATTCACGTAGCGGCGTCCTCCATCGAGCTGCAGGAGAGCCGCCTGCGGATAGATCTGTCCCGACGTGAAAGAAACCTCCGCGTTGAGACGATGCACCTCGCTGCCGATCGACTCGCCGACGGCGCACCATCCCGCTGCGCCAGTGCATTGGGGAGCCATCACCAGCACAACAGGTCGCTCTTCCTCCAAGTACTGATAGAGCTCCATCTCCTCGTCAGGCTGAAGAAGATCAACGCCCATGACAGCGTCAAAGTTACGTCCCCCCACGTAGCGTCGCCGAACGAGCAACTGAGTGGCACGCCCTTCTCCTCCCATGATATATGCCACATCGACGAAGAAACTGCTCTCGCTCTGCTTCGCACGATTCAAGATCGACCGACCCGAAGATATGCCAAGGAAGTGTCGTGCTCGATCTGGTGGGCGATCATCTCGGAGTCGTCCAACGATACCCTCCGTCTTGAACTCGCTGGGCTCCAAATAGTAGTTCTCCACCTCGTTGCCCGGCATATTCCACCAGCAGACCTCCTCGCTCTGGAGATAGTCGAGCTCACCGAGGTCCTTGCCGCAGTCGCCCACTACCTCGGGATCCAAAATCTGATTGACCTTCTTCTTCGGTTCGTGTCCCTCGGCCTTGCTGGACTTCAGCTTATCCTTGCATGCCTTGGCAGAATCGGTCGGGTAAAATCTAACTGTCTTATACTTAGTCGCCAGCATGTGAGAATCTACAGGATCATCTGGTCCAGTCTGAGGATATCGTGCAGCTCGTTCGGTATCATTGTCATCTCGTCTATCTCCTCGGACCGCATCACATAACTTGTCTCGAAATTTGCTCTGCCAAAAGACGGACAATAATGCTGAGCATGACCCAACCCCGTCGATCTGCGATGATCCGAACTCTTCCAGCCGCAGCTGCACGAAGCGGGAAGCAAGTCTAGGTTGGAAAAGAATCTCCGGCTGGTAATCGGGACCATATCCTTGCCCGACGACAAAGAACTGCACCATCTATGATCTGTCATCCGATATCCTGGCAGGGTCGTCGCAGTCGCTCTGATAATTTCACCCCCCTGCCAGGCCTCATTCATCGCTGGGGAATCGACCACCAACACGCACCGAAGCTGAATCAGGCGCGCAATGAGAATGCAGGTCGCCATCAATCTTTGCTTTTGCCTTCTCGTCTTCCCTTGCCGTCTAGTGACGTCGGGTACGAGAGACTGTAGTCGCATCCAGACGCATCGGCACTTTCCACGCTCCAGGAGTCGAAGAACATGCTCCGTGGTCGAGGTGTGCAGAAGGCTCAGGCGGGCGAACTTGACGTTTGCTTTACCCAGCAGCTTCGTGCGGATCGGGTTACCATTGTCCTCGTCAATCACTATGAGCTCCGGGTCCTGCTCGGGGACGTCCAGATACCAAGCTATAAGATCACCTGCGGCACCGCCGCCGCTTGGTAGCGGCGGTCCGCACCCTCAGTGCACCGCAGGCTCCGACGACGAAACCGCTGTCGGCTCGTTCGTCGGTGAGACTGTTTCCTCCTCCTTCGCCTTGTCTTTGATCATGGGCAGGGTGACTGCAAGGGCACTCGCATGCCAGGTGGCCGGCCCCTGCTTCTCGCGCACCTTCTTGTCCTTGCCGTTGCCGAAGAAATGCGAGATGGGCAGCCGCAAGTGTTCTGACCGTGAATCTTCGAGGTTGAAGGCGAGCGCCCCGGGCGGCGGCGTGAACTGCACTCTTCCAGGGCCACATAGGTACAGCTTGTTGTTGATCATGTCGACCACCGCTCTGTTGCGCCTCAGGCCACGCTTTCCCCAGAGAGCGGGAATATCTGAATCAGGAACCCCCGGGGCCTTGTAGCTTATCTGATGCACCTTACCCCGCTCGTCCTTCGCTGCGCCTGGCATCGCCCCCTCCTCCTTGGCGATTTGAGCGTTGGTACCGACCCCTTCGACGCCAATCGACTAATCCATCAAGTGCTGAGTCGGTTCAAAACACGCCCTTCTCGCAAGAGTTCCCACTCGCATAACCCATCTGTCGCGCACGAGGCTGTCGCACGCGCCGGGATCCATCAGCAAGCACTCTTGGCCGCCCATCCGGGTCGCCTCTAGAAACACCTGCCGGGCCTCATCGCGCCGCTCGAACACGGGGCCCACAAACCACTTCAGACCAGCCGGCTTGTTCCCTGGATCGACCTGCTCGTTGGTGGCCCGAGGTTCTTCAAGAAGCACTTCTGGATCTGGGTCGTCCATGATACGAGCCTTCGCCTGTTCAATCATCTGAATCGTCTCGCTGCCGATGCCCACGAACTCGGATGGGAGTCGAAAGCACGCCCCAGGAAACAGACGAAGCACAGTCACGGCGAACCTCATCCTGGAAGCCTGGCCGCGCATGCGACTCGCACAGGCGCGAGCCATCCTCCTTCACGTCCGGGTAGTAGCTGCCCTCGCACTCCTTCTCCTCATCCTTGGACACGTCCACCTGCGGCTCCGCGCTGCTTGGCACGGCAAAGAAGTGTCTGGTCGCAGTACACGCCGCCGGCTGCCCCGTGAGCTGCTGCCAGCGCTGCGAGGCACCGGAGAGGCTCGAAGCTGGTTGAGCGCCCCCAGCGCTCGAATTCCCCTCTGTCGTCACGTAGCCCTTTCCATCTGAAGTGGCACGCTTCCGTCGGTAATCGTCAGCTCCAGGGGCGTCGCACTTCCTCCACAGGCGCTTCTCGCTGTTGCAATGATCGCATCGAAGAGGCTGCCCGTTCGCGCCTCTCGGGTTGGTCTTCTCGCCCTTGCCCTTGCCCTCATAGTACTCCCGAGTGTTCCACGTGCAACTGGGGCAGAGAGCTCCGCCCCCTGCTTCCGAAAGAGAAGACCGCCCACTGTTCCTCTGAAACCTGACCCCTTTCTTGCCTTTGCCCTTGCCTTTGCATCTGCGTCGCCGCGGAAGTCGATCGGTTCGTCTTCGCCAATGCTTCTTGGTAAGGGCATACACTTCATATAGGTCGCTGTCGTTCATCTCAGCGCTGATGGCGACTGTCGACTCCGCAAGGGCACTGCCGTCATCGTCGCTCGTCTCGGTGGAGTCGGGGCCCTCCCTGTCGTAGAAGATCTCACTGCAGTTGCCGCACCAGCATCCCTCAGCGTTCGATCAATTCGACACTTCAGCAACTTCGCTGCGCGGACCTCCTGCCACCGACGATGGCGATGCGCTGGGGTAGTAGGGCATCGGAGGCGGCGGCGCTCCTGCCTGGGCACCGGCATCCTGAAAGTTGTCCGTGAAATGAACGCCGTCGCCCGAGCCTGCAGAATTAGCAAATTGCTGATGCCGAGATTGACGAGCTGCTTGAGCGAGTCCACTTCGCTCGTAGAGATGATGCTGACGCCTGATGAGAGAAGTGAGGCTTGAGAGCTCCTGTTCATTGGTCGGCAAGTTGCCCCTGGTCGGTGCCAGGAACTGAGCCCACTGATGAGGTGGGATGCCGAGAGCATTGGGCAACATCCAGGCCAGACTCGGCACCCCCATGTGGAAATTCCCCAGGTGCTCTGCCTTGAAATTCAAGAGGTCGAACCGAGCCAGCGCCTGATCGATCGGTTCGCCTGGTCGCCGACGAAAAGCAACCAAGTCCGTCATACTGGCAATCGCGGTCTCCACCTCGAGCGGCATAAACTTGCGTCGTAACCCATGAATCAATAGATCCAGCCCAGAGCACCATCGATGTCCAGCTCCATCTCGTAGATCCATCCATACTCCATCTTGTAACTGATCTGGCGGCACTTCTCTCGATATCT